ATGGGAGGAGGTATGTCCAAACGCTATCCATAGGCCACGTGCAGAGGCCAGCTTTATCCTAGGTGTCTTAGTCTGTTAAGGATGCTACAACAAATAGGCCACACACTGGGTGGCTTGTAAGCAATAAGCATTTCTTTCTCAGAGTTCTGCAGTCTAGACGTCCAAGTTCAAGGTGCCAGCATGGTTAGTCCTGGTGAAGGCCCTCTTCTGGGCTGCAGGCTTCTTACTGTGTCCTCGTATGGTGGAAAGGGCAAAGGATGTCCCTGGAGCCTCTTACCAAGGTACGCTCCCATCACGAGAGCTCTACTCTCATGCCCTAAGAAACTCCCAAAGGCCCCGCCTTCTACTACCATCACATGGGCAGTAGGATTTCAACACATGAACGGGGTGGAGGACACATTCAGACCTCAGCACTAGGCTCTGGCAGAGAGAGACCAGTGTGGAGAGGACACACGTCCCCTGGTCCCGAGGAACCTCCATCTCTGAACCCTGCACTGTCAGAATGTGTGAACGCTTTTCTCAGTCCACACCAGATGATGGAGCAGAAACTCAACAGATTGGAGAATAAAAAGTGAAGGACTTGAGAGTCCGGCTTTTTACTTGACACAGATGCAATCGCTCCGTATGTATCCCCTGCTCTCTAATGGGTGTTTTGTTACAGCCCCTTTCTCTCATTTCTTTACCTTTCAGTCCCATCTCTTCTCTAACTGAAGATTGCCCATGGTTTCCAGGGGGTGGTTCTAACATTCCACAAGATATCCATGTTCTCTTGTGACTTTCCCGTTCCACTTTCCCACTGTCCAAGTACCCTCAACTATCTTGCCCATTCCACTTATGACACAAGCATTATAAATAAATCAACAGGTATGGAAAGTCTAGTAAGGCGGTGAAATAAGAGCTTGGGGTAGACTTGGGATTTTATACCCAGTGCATCTTATCACATGGCTGCCCTTTGTTAGGAACTTTTAACCTCTTCAGTTCTTATATCCTCCTCCACCCAATGAAGATTCTAATCTTGCAGGGCAAGTGTATAGACTGCAGATAAGGCACAGGATGCTGACAGCACGGGCCTCCTGGGTGTGCCTTCCACGGACCACGGGCTTAACTCTTCTTCTGATCTTTGTAGAACACCAATGACTAAGGGCACCTGGGTGGCTCAGTCAGTTAAGCATCTGACTCTTTGGCTCAGGCCCCGATCTTACAGTTTGTGACTTCAAGCCCTGCATCAGGCTCTGTGCTGACCATGTGGAACCTGCTTGGGGTTCTCTCTCTCCCTCTCTCTCAAAATAAATAAATAAGCTTAAACAAAAAAAGAAAAGCAGTGACTACACTGACAATGAACTGTTGTATACTGTAATAGCCACCAATAGTTAACAACAACCTATGTGCACACAGCAACTTACAGAATTTCTTTCATTTGATTAAAAAACAGCATTTCAAATATGCCAAATGACTTAACTGGTACCTTAGCAATTTAAATTGCAATCAGTAGTGGCCTCTTCAATTTCATAACATGTGTTAGATCCTCAAAAACAGAATTATACTTTCTGTGTATAGGACTCTTGTTTTAGAGAGGAGAAGACCCCTATGTCTAACCTCATAGAAGCCTATATGATTTTTGTGACGGAGAATAAAACAAGTAACATCCTAGCTACTTTTTTCCAGAGAAGGCCCTTCCTCTTCCTCTTTTTTTTTTTTTTTTTTTTTTTTTAAAGCAGCAAGCAAGGTCAAAGCTTGGCTCTACTGGGCTGCCCGGTGGGTCTCATTACGGTGACTGGCTTCCCTGGTCCCCGGGGAGACCTTGCTCAAGGTCAGCGAGCCGGCTTCAGGAGAGCCACACCTGACTGTGCCGGCGGAACCTGAACTCTGAGTCATTTGCTTGGCAAAGAGCTGGTCTGGGAAAAGGCAAAAGTCAGAGATGCTGGCGTGAAAGGTGGATGAGTCACGGGCAAGGAACAAATCGTTCGTTATGAGGACCACCTTTAGAAAATGCTAAACTGGAAAAGAAAGCGATGTGGGGAAAACTAACACGTGTTTTTGGTCAGGACCACTTAACACACACGAAAAAAGCACGCAAAGGTTGCTTTGGCTCCTGGCAATTTCTCAGGTACTTAGCACTCGCGCTATGAGAACAAAAATCTGCGCCAGCGACGTTTTAGAAAAGGAAAACTTTCCAGGAGAAACTGACTTATCAGTTACTGAAGTTTGACTCAGATAATAAGAAACTAAAAACAAAGCGAACACTGTAACTGATTTCTTCAAATTGTAATCACGTGGCTAATGCATAGAAACTGGTGTTTATTCTTTCCTGAGGACTTACATATACATTATACAGGAGGTTTCATAGTCTAGGTTGAAAAAACTCAAACGTTTAACCAAGAGAACATTACAAAGTCATTTTATGCCTTTCTTTTCTTTTTTAGTTTCCTTAATTACTTAAGGAACCATGTTTTAAGAAGACACACCTTGCACTCTAAAAACAATGTAATGTTAAAGGCACGTACTGAGTAATAGTCAAAAACATTGACAAATGAGTACCTAGGTCTTCATAAGGTTACTTGTCTGTAATTTAAGAACTCAGAAAGAACAAAGTTTTAATAAATTTTAAATGCAAAAATCACCAAAGACAGTTGAAAGCATTTGGACAGGAAGACAAAAACTATGCTTTTCACAACGATCTTTCAGAGCGCTTTTTAAACAAACGTTTCCATCTTATTTATGGGGAAACTAACATAAAAACAACTGAAATCAACTTGCACACAGGGATCCGACTTAAATAGAGGGCCAAGAATTAGCGTCTCCAACCCAGGTGACATTGCACTAATGAGTCATGTGGTTGAATCCTTTCTAATCTCTCCCAGGCAGGCCCTAGCTAAATAAGGATATTGATAAATATCGACAAACTCAAGATGGTTATGGCTGTGACGGTAATGGACTGTCTTCTCCAGAATCTGTCTGGGAGGGAGAAAGGACGTTCCTCCACTTCTCGCATGCCTCTGCTGTACCAGGCACTCCCACGGCTATGTCTTTGGCCTTCTCCAACCCCCTACTAGCTTGCTGTTATCCTAGTTGGCATGTGGGAAACAGAGGCTCTGAGAAGTCAAGTCCATTCGCAGGGTTAGGAAGCAGTAGAGCTGAGCTTACACTCATGTCTACTTAATCCCTCAGATTTTTCTTGGCTACCAAGGGTGTAAATTCACTGGGAATTACCATCACTCAGATGTGTATGAAAGAGCAGGGGTCTTGGGAATCATAGAAGAGAACAACAGGCCCATTTGTTGGGAAGCCTGCTTTTAGCACATGTCCCAGAAAATCCCTCCCTTGTGGGCACATCGGGATGGGTGGGCTCCTAGAATGAGGCAAGAGTGGAGAACACAGGCCCTGCCAGAGGCATTCCCACTAAATCCTGGGGATTCCACAGCCCTAGACCCAGGGAGGGTGGATGTGGAGTTCCCTCCAGCCAACAGGAGCCTGGGACTTTCATACCAGAATTTCTTACATCCGGGATACGAAGAAAAGGGAATATGGTGATGAGTGATGGATTTCAGGGTGTATCACTGGGGGGCACTGTTGGCTTTTTCTGGAATGCCTCTCCCTCCACAGATGGCAGAATTCCACCGGGCACAGGCTGGTTCTTACCTGTCAGCCTACATTAGACTCTGAAGTTCCTGGAGAGTGGTAACATCTACCCAACAAAGTCATGCATAATGTAGTAATAAACTGCACAATGCATGGCATACTATACAGGCAGCGGCCCAATTCTTATGGATGCTGGAAAACAGGCTTGAGGAAGGCCGTCAATCAAATTGGAGCATGTGGTGACTCGGGAATATGGCGCTGAGGTTAAGACCGTGTTCTCCTGAGGGCTGTTCTTTACCACCTCAAGTCACTGCAGACATCAGTTAACTGGAGAGCTGTCTCTCAACTTCCTAAACATTCTCAGTGTCCTCATTTGGTGATATTGAACTCTCAGCCCCTCTGGAAAAGGGAGGAACTATCTGGACCCTGACCTCTGTTAACCACTTCTTAGGTTCCTTCATGGGAAAATGGGCCTGGTTCCAGGATGTTTCTGGGCTTTCCATCAGCTCCAGAGACCAGGAAGGAATTGTGGGGTGGTGTGGATGTGGAGCAAAATAGCCAGCAGTGCCTTCATGAAGCACGCACACTTCCAAAGCTGTTGGCTATACGCCAACACTTGCCCCGCGCCTTCTCGGTCTGCCCCTTGGCTGGCATTTCGGTTCTGGCCTCTGGACGTGGCCTCCTTTGGGAGGCCAGCCTGCAAAACTCTCTCTCCCCAAATCTCACAGGGCACTTATGGCTGGCTCTACACCATCTGGCCCGTCAGAAAACACCATTTCATTCTCCAACCACAGACAGCGTACTTTTCATTAAAGTACAAAGATGTTCACTTTTTTTTTTAATGTTTTTTTTTTTTTAATTTATTTCTAGGAGAGAGAGAGAGACAGCGTGAGCAGGGGAGGGTCAGAGAGAGAGGGAGTCACAGACTCTGAAACAGGCTCCAGGCTCTGAGCTGGCAGTCAGCACAGAGCTTGACTCGGGGCTCGAACCCACGAACCGCGAGATCATGACCTAAGCGAAAGTCGGACGCTTAACCGACTAAGCCACCCAGGCGCCCCAAAGATGTCCACTTTTTAATATTGGCTTCAAACCCATGGATTGCCGAGGACCTGATCACGGAATATTGGTAAATATAACATGGACTTTGAAAAAACCACAACTACTAAGCAGATACATAGAAGACATACCATGGAAACCCTTGGAAAAGCAAAAGTAAATCATGGTTACTATTACTTTATTCCTGGTAGAGACCTCCGAGATAGGGACTCCTTTTATTTGTTTTTCCTTTTTCTTTTTTTTGGGGGTGCAGCAAAATATCTGCAACCTCAGCCTCTCACCTTCTTTGTCTTAATATAATAATGTCACAGGTTTTCAGGGAGAATCAATGCTCAGAATGGGTCAAAACTAAGCAATGTACTTACTTGAAAGAGGAACGAGTAGTTTACAGATGGCAGGCAGAAGTCACAGGGAATCCTGTCTATCTTAAGCTACTCTCCGCGGCACGTAATATCTGAAAAGAGAGAAAAAACTGCTATTGCTTTTTTATTTGACAGAAATAGGCAGGCTGCTAAATATACATGGCAATGGAAAATGACAGTTCTTTTGAAAATGGGTGAATACGTTACAAAAACAGGCAACAAACAGGTAGGTACACTAAAAGGTGTTCACTTCATTTAGAGGCGAAGGGTTCCGCCCACTTCAGCTCCCCTTTGAGGGAGACACTGAACCATAGGCAGCAATGATCTAGAAGGGTCTGCACACTGAGCTGTGAGAAGTCACAGAAAGAAAGGTTGACAGGGCGTCATCTCATTTCTGGAAGGGCCGCTACGCACATCTGGAGCCTGAGTCTACCCGAGGTCTGATAGGGTGTGCGCTGTTTCAAATGGCCCCAGGGCCCATCTGGTAGACAGCCCCCTCTTCAGAAGAGGAAATGGGCCCCCCTTGGGTAAGGGGCTTCGCACAAACCCCGCAGCTGGCTGGAGCAGAGCTCCCCACAGCCACGGAAGCACCCCTCACCTGCACCGCCACGCCCCCATGACAGTATTCATTCATTCATTCACTCATTCATCCATTCATTCATCCTCAAGTACTAGCTGAGCACTTTCTATGAACCAAGTTCTGTTCTAGACTCTGTGGGTGAAGGGAACAATCTCTGACCTGAGTGTTTACATTCCAGAGAGGGGAGGCTATATTCTCAGAATGTCCCACTACAATGGCGGCTGGAGACATCTGAAGGCAGGGAGGGAGCCGGCCGGGGATCTTCCGGGGTAGGCACACGCCAGGTAGAGGGGGCAGCCAGGGCCCTGAGGCACAGGGAGCCCAGGAGGCTGCTAGGACTGGGGCAGGGGACATGCGGGAACGCAGAAGTGGCGGCTAAGTCTGTGGCAATGGACAAACCAACCAGTGGCAAACAGGTGTCAGAGGTGATGAAGGACAGAACTTTGGAGAATCTCTCTTGTCAGGTGGGCAGAAAAGAAGGAGCCTGGGAAGAAACAATTCAAGGCAGGAGACAGAAGGGGGCTGTGTCCCCGAGGCCAGCAGGCCAGCTCTGAAAGAGAATACGTCCCACAGGGCGAGGGGCAGTAGGGGTAGGGCAGGGAGAAGTCAAGGCTGCTAGACGACTGTGAAGAAGTGGGTCTGAAGGCCCGACTACAGCAAAACACTGCAGACCTGTCTGACTGCTGGTCCAGAATATCAGAAATGGGGGCGCCCGGGTGGCTTAGTCGTTAAGCATCCGACTTTCGCTTAGGTCATGATCTCGCGGTTCGTGGGTTCGAGCCCCGCGTCGGGCTCTGTGCTGACTGCCAGCTCAGAGCCTGGAGCCTATTTCAGAGTCTGTATCTCCCTCTCTCTCTGACCCTCCCCTGCTCACGCTGTCTCTCTCTCTCTCCTAGAAATAAATAAATAAATAAATATATATATATATATATAAAAGAATATCGGAAATGCAGTAAGTCTTCACGTAGAAGGTTCACTGGTAGGAAGATCGAACACAAACTTGTTGTCCCTCAAGGGGACTTTCCCACCAAATTTGGCAAGATTTAAAAGACGTCTAAATTCAATCTGATGTATCAGGAAAGGAAAGCAGAGGGCCTTAATCACAGAAAGGCCAAATGCACGTGTTACAATCCAAGCCCCAATTTTACAAGCTGGTCTTTAATGAGCATGTGCAAAATAAATGACTTAAATAAATGAGCCCACAGGCGTCCAATAGCAAAAGAAAATTTCTGACAAGGCGCTTAGTTGCAACAGTAGTCACTGAATTGCTCGGGAATGCAACAGTAATGAAAGTATTTTGCGATTCCTTTAAGATGAAGTTTTAAATTAGTGGGTACGTTTAAATTACTGGAAAACTTTCAAAAAATCTTTTTAAAATCCCACCTATTAAAACAAAAATACTCCCGGGGCACCTGGGTGGCTCAGTCAGTTAAGAGTCCACTTTGGCTCAGGTCATGATCTCACAGTTCGTGGGTTCAAGCCCTGCATCAGGCTCTGTGCTGACAGCTCAGAGCCTAGAGCCTGTCTTCAGATTCTGTATCTCCCTCTCTCTCTCTGACCCTCCCCTGCTCATGCTGTCTCTCTCTCTCTCAAAAATAAATAAAAAATATTAAAAAATTAAATAACAAAAACCAAAACCCCCAAAAATAGTCCCATGCAGCAATCCAGCGTGCGTTCTGAAAAGGTTTAGGAGGAAAAAAAATGATAGTTTATATCTATGATGTTTATTACAGATCACAAATAAGACCACGTAGTGAAACCCAAAGTCAATATAAACTTCGGAACAGATCTGCGGCCCACAATAACTCCTACGGGACATAAGCTCTAGTGGGCATGGTGCAAGATGAGTGGCAGAAAGTTCTGGATCAGGGACCAGCCGTGACCATCTCCCTTCTCCTGAAGCCTTCCCTCCCTGCCCTTTCTGAAGACCTGGTCACACCTCTTTGGTATGGCCAACCTAAATGGCTCCCTTCGCCTCATATCCCTTATTATTATTTATTTCACGTCTTTCCTCTACAACAGAGCTGTGTCTTCTATCTTTCTCTCACTAATGCTTAGCACAGAACCTAGCACTTGGTAGGTGCACATAATTACAGAATAAAATAATGAAAAAAAAGAAAATATTCTTAAAAGAGAGCCCCGTGTCTCTTTGAATATTTTTCCAACCCGGGAAAATGGGGGGGGGGGTCAATCCTGAGATATTAATCAATTGCTAAGGACAGATGTCTGTCCCTCTTTTTTTTTTTTTTTTTAGTGTCACAGGTGCCCAAACATCCAGCTGGAAAGCCACCTCGAGGTGCCATACCACAACCCTCACGTCCAAGGCCACGTGCTGCACCTTGCTCCTTCTTTTACAATTATTCTCAGGCTAGGACCAGCCTAGGTGCTTTGTGGCATATCCAATTCTACGTGGAATGACTTTTTGGTTTTAAACTCAATGCCATTTTTTTCTGCTATGATTACGAGCCCTAGGAGAAAAAGTCAGGAAGTACCACCTGATGTTTTGATTTAAAAAATTATACATTTTATATTCTAGTTCATGTTAACGGGACTTATTTTTGACTGGTCAGAAATGTCATTCTCTCATCAGTAAAGAGCGACAGAATTACGAGGATGGACAGAATAAAATGTTAGAGGGTCTAAAAACCTTACTTTTACCTTCTTATTTCAGAAGTACATAAAGATTCCTCTGAACGTAGTAAAAAAGTTGTAACTGATCTGAAGATAAAATTACAGGGTTTGTTACTCCGAGAAAAGAGAAATAACATTTTATTTAGTGCTATTTCAAAATGCCCCTTTAGTATATGTTAAAGGGCCCTTTGGGATCATAGTACATTACACAATATCCATGCACATTTATATTTACATCACATTTTTAAGAAGTTCCTTCTAGACACAGCAAGTCTTTTAAGATCCAACCCTGGAGAAGCAACCTCATTTAGAACTATGTCCTATAGCTTCCAATGACACACAGCAAATCGGGGCTGTGCTCAAAAAGGGGGTTGACGATGGTGATATAGGACAACAATAATTTACTCTTAAGGCAGCTGCCTTCCTGGAAATTCTGTGAAGACTAAGGTCATTAAGGGAGTATGTCAGGGGATTAGGAGGAGAGGGAGAGACAGTTATAAAAGTGCATCCATTTATTCTTCCCCGAATGAGTGTCCAGGCCCAACTGTCAAATGCAGGTGATTTCCCACACGTGCAGCAGGAGGCACGGCAGGCGAAGAACGCAGGGCTGAGACTGGAGAGAGGGCTCGGGCTGGGTGAAGGGGGGCAGGATCACGGTAACACACTGCGCTCCTGCCACGGCCACGCACACTTCTGAAGTCTGAACCAGGCGTGGCTGGCGTTGAGGGAGGAGGGAGTCCAAACGTTGGGGGAGGAGGGAGTCCAAACAGGAAGTAGGTGACCCTTCCCACGTCCGTCCCATGACACGTGGGGTCTTAAAACCGAAACGCCGCAGACTGCCTAGGGTCACAGAGAGACCCTACATTCCAATGAATGACATTCAAACTTTCTTACTGCAGATGACACCGTGTTACAATAAATGACCACCCTTCCTAACATCTTCTGTATTCTTTCTTAAAACAGTTATTTGAGAGAAATCTTACATTCAACAATTTATTACACTCCAGGGTAGACCAGGGAGGGGATCTAGGGGGTGGGGGGGGAGTGAAGCACAGTTGGTATTCTGAAGTTTTCCTCTACGGAAATAGACAGAAGCCCTACAGTCGGATTGTAGCTTTAAATCAAAGCAGTTATTTTAACAAAATACTTAAACAGCACTGCTTGGCTTTCCAGGGGCAGGGAAATAATCCCTGACAGCCTTCAGATATCAGCAGGGCTCTCCACTGAGAGCAGACGCATGGTGGCAGCCGGCCAGCCGTGTGACTGGTGAGTCAATACACAAGTTTCTGTGGTCACCACAGCCGGTGACGGGAAGGACATCAATTTTTAAGTTTGAGGACCTAATGATAACAAGGGGTTCTTCCGGTATCACACAACTCTCTGGCGAAGGTACGCTGAGAAACCAAAACTCATGCTGCGTTGGCCTGGGTTTCTTTAAGCGCAGCCTTGGCCACTTAGATATTTTTCCTCCAGGCTGTACCACCTTTCCAACACGATCTTAGATTCTTTATTGTCTGATTTGGGAAACAGTCCAGGCGATCGTTAATAGAAATGTTCAAATGCTGTCAGACCTCAGTCAAAGTGGTAAGAACCGCACCTTCCTGTGATTTCATTTCAACTCCGAAAGCAACCTAACATCCCTGCGGAACAAAAGCCCCGAGTGAAAAATTCTCTCTTTGGCACGGCTGAAAACGCACCTATACATATTTCTGGCACAATGGGATACGCTCATGGTCTCCACGTTAAGAAGGCTTAATGGAAACTACAAAAGGTGAAACAAAGAAAGCCACCCAAAATGAAGGCGGCGCGCGTCTCTGAAGAAACAATAGCTCATTACTTCTGCTGAGACCCTGCGTCCACACCAGGGGAATCGCTGCCCGGTCCTCGTTCAAGTGTGTTTCACTGAACTCTCCTTGATTGCTCATTATTCATGAGAGTCTGGGCTCCATGCAAACAGTCACCCAGCTACTGCAACGCACCTCCAAAGGCCACCTAAATTGAGACAACATCGGACTTTCCCAAACAGAAGATAACCAATAAAAATCACTCCCCACCACAGGCATTCTTGAATCCAGGTAAAAACAATATTCCTTCGCGAACAGGGTGGCTGTTTACCAGCCAAGCCTTCTCCGGGAGAACACAGGACAGTCCGGGAGTGCCAGAGTACGAGTGATATTAACAAAAGCAAGAGCAAATTAACCAGATGACGCGACGAGCACGCTTCATTTCATGCACGGCCCTGTTTTTCCGGAGATAAAGCCTCAAAGTAATTACCATGAACTGAAACTTCTTCGCGGAGCTCCGGAGCCGGCGGCCAGTGCCTCCGATGCACGCCAACAAAGACGGACACCTTCTCTCTGGTGCCTTCCTTACGGTTCCCAGCCGGGCACCTCCACCGCTGCAAGAACACAGGAGAGTATCTCTGTATCTATGTCTCCGATGCAGCATAAAGAGCACTGTGGAAACCTATCAAACTGGCGAGCAGCCGTGCTAGCAACCAATGAGGAGAGGTTCATGCAGTGTCCAGCACATGCTCTCTGAGGCGCAGCCTGTCACCAGCGCTTAGCAGGCTGGTAATCTAATTATAGCTAGTTTGCTAGCACGGAGCTCTTGGAGCAAAGCACATGAGCACATTAAATTTTAATAAATTAACCCCCACAGACAGGATCCTCTTGATTTCCTGTCATTCAGAAGATTAATGCATCACCTTGTAAACGATCAGTGATTTTTAAAAGTGCAACCCTGTGTTTTCTCCCATCTCGAGAAACAAAAGAGTGGTGAAATCAGTGTAGAGCACCTGGCAGCTTACTTAAACTTAACAGATTCCAGCACTGAGAAATAATAAAATCGATACCGGGAGGATATTAAAATCCAAGTCCTATAAAATCAGAGTCTCACGTTATTTACCCCGGGGTAGCGATTTGCCACTCGTTGGCCCTAAAGTGCTAATTAATCTCTCAACAGCATTAGAAATACCAGGCACGTTTCTATCCATAGTGGAAAAGGGCTAATCAAGGTGTCAAAGGTCATAATGTTGATTCTAGTGATTATTTATTATTTATTTATTATTTACCATGTATTATTATTAATTCAGAGCTCCAAGAGATGGAAAAGGATACCAGGAGTCATTCTAAAAGCAAAAGTTAAATAAATGTGCCCACCTCATAGTTTCATGGTAAAATTACTTCTAGAATCCAAATCCCATCAGATGCGGGTTGATGCAGAGCCAAAGGGCATACATCTAAGTGTCAAACTGGCTGGGTTTAAGTTCTGGATCAGCTATTTCCTACCTTTGTGACTGGGGAAGTGACTGGATGCCTCTGTGTCTCAGTGGCAATACCGAGAGACACAGTGCAGGATTCTTGTCAATGGGCTATTTGCACTTAGCACGGCGCCTGGCACGCAGGGAGTTCGAATCAAGCTATTATTAATAGCAGCAATCTTTTCGTTATGTCCTATTATTTACCTTCTTTTCCAGCATCGCACTGCTCCAAGAAAGTACCTAAACACTTCTCCACTGTAGAATGTTGTCAGAAACCCCATTTAGAATTAACCATGACAAGCTAATGGCAGACTTGATTAATCACAGAGAATCAGTATTATATTCACTCTAGTAACAAAAATTATTACTCCTTCTTAAGAACTTTTTGCCTATGTAATTGCTACAATTTCACTGGATTCTACACGAACCGATCTTAAAAGGACTTTTCAGGAAATGACGGGCACATAATTGTATTTCATTAACGACTTGCAACAAAGATTATAGGATATACATTCCACAAGTGTTTTCTATGGAATATATATTGGGGAAAGTTGGTAATGCAGTTTGATTAAATTTAAAACGACAAATGTATGGGAGAAGGGGAGAGGAAAGAAGTCAGTGAGTCAAAGGCAATGTTTGTCCCTGCAGTCTACTTAAAATTTGTTTTCCCCGAAAGTCATATCTTTCTTGTGTGTTCTACAAAATTAACCATCCGGGGAGGATATTTATCAAATCTGTTAAGACTTCTTTCAGGAATTCCCAGAAACTGGTCTGTTCTACCAGTTAAGTTCTGATCCAACGACACCGTGCAAACTTCTCATTTCTATAGTTTTACTTCACTCTGCTTTTTATTTGAAACCCTTTATAGAAAGCAGACATTCTCAAAAGGCATTATGATTTGCTCTAAGGAACCGTATATCCCTGAGGATTAATCAGGAGCCATGGAAAAGGAATCCTGCCTATGGATCATTTTGCATCCACCGGTCTTTGGGAAATAAGCTAGCGAAAGGGACGGCGTGGCCCATGAACTTCAAGGGAGAACACAGAAACTCATGATCCATAAACTGAAGAGTGAAAAGTGTGTAGAAACGTACACACAGACACGAACTCGGGGGACGTAGGATGGAGCTGAGTCTGCTCCAGGAAAGCACTGCTGCGTGCATTACGGAAGCATGGACCACGGAATTATCAAAGCGCGATCGGGAGCTAAAACTCCAAGAGGAATTGGCTTCAGTGATTTGGCCTAAGGCACCGCTCCCTCGAGACTGCCGGGATACAGACTAGTAACACTTCAGGTATTTATCGAGGAAACCTCGAACAGCTCTGCCTTCCCCTTCATTTAACAGGCTGCTCACTCAAAAAAGGCACTTTACAAAGCTGTTTGATTAATTTCTCTCATGCCTGTTTTGTACACGCATTCAACAGGCCCTTTCTAAGAGACGGAAGCGACGGTCCTTTCTTCGGTCTTATCTTTCAACATGTTTAGAACCAGTATTTGTTGGAAACGGAGGAAAAGTTAATTGGTAATCTTTCTTACTTGGCCACACAGCTAGGTCAGCCTATATATACGTATTTTTAACCTCTGGGGGGCACACTGTTGTCTTTGAACGTTCGTCAACTCATCCCTGATTCTGAAAAATCATTCAGGAATGATCTGCACGCCTACTATGTGCAAAGACTGTGCTGGACTTTGACAAGTGCAGGGAGAGAACCAGAGTGTCTGGATTCCTGATGGAGCCTCCATTCTAAAGAGGGAGATAAACATTAAGTGTCATTAACAAACGAGTAGTCACGATGGCGGTAAATTGTTGTGAAGTGGGGTGGGGGGGGTTTGCTGTGAAAGCATGTAAGTCATAATATAAGTGAGGGTGGAGTGAATGGTCTGTGGCTGAAGTGTGGTCTTCTGGCTGGAGTGTGGACGAGGGCCAGAGCGTGTGAAGGTTCTGGAAAGGCTGGTGGGGCCGGAAGACAAAGGGGGGCCATGGAGACACAGCTGGAAACAGCATACACCAGGGGCGCCTGGGTGGCTTAGTCAGTTAAGCGTCCGACTTTCGCTTAGGTCATGATCTCGCGGCTCGTGGGTTCGAGCCCCGCGTCGGGCTCTGTGCTGACTGCCAGCTCGGAGCCTGGAGCCTGTTTCAGTCTGTGACTCCCTCTCTCTCTCTGACCCTCCCCTGCTCACACTGTCTCTCTCTCTCTCTCTTCTAGAAATAAATAAAAATATTTTTTTAATTTAAAAAAAATATTAAAAAAAAAAAGAAGAAACAGCATACATCAGAAGAATGAGAGTTTGGTCCAAGCCCTCTGAAAATAGGACTGCCGATTCCTTTTCAGTTCTTTCTGGAGTAACAGGTACCCACTACCTTGCAGGTCAAAACCTTCGCTTGCCCTTTTTTGCACCAAGAACAAAAACGCATGCATCTCACATCTGCCAGACTGGACACGGAGGGGAAGTCACCCCCCCACCCCAACCCCAGACACCAACCTCCCTGAACGGAATCCCTCAAGTTCTGGTTTGATTCTCTAACCTTGGAGAATGAGGAGAGGAAAGCCCAAGTGTCAAGGATTTCCATACAGAGTTCTGTTAGTTTTCTCCTTCCCTTGGAGAAGAAACCAGAGTTCGCATACTAAAAATGCTTCTTTCTAAGTCTATGGCTCCTGGATAACTTTAGACTGATTAGAAGTGTCTTGGACTGTGGTTGTTTGTCAGACTCTAACTCGCTGCAAGGGGTCGAGGAAATCTGTTTCCTCCGTGGGGAGGACTGCTCCCAAGCTGGGCCTCCATGACTGGGGAGTCTCTCATTTGGCTGACGGGGAGCCCCAGTGTAGCTCTCCTCTCCCAGCCCTGTCAGGGAAGGGAGCAAGGGCCAGCAGCTGATTAGTGGTCCAAGACGTGCCACGGATCCCAGCCACATGGAGTGCAGTTTGGCCAGTATCGAAGCCACCAGCCTGGGATGGTGTGGTTCTGACCCGTAGCATTTCCATCATGGGATTTCAAGCCACCCACCACCATGAAGTCACTGTGCATGGAACTGGGCAGGGATGCTAAGAATCAGCTCCCCCCCAGAGCCTATGAAGAGCTTTAGCAAACCACCACCTGCCAAGTCCAAGGGAAAGAAAAGCTTGCCCAGGCGGTGAAGGTCTCCTCTGGCTACGAGGGGTAGGACAATTGGTAGAAAAGCATTCGAGTAGTTAGGAAGTATAGTGCTCCTTCCTTCTCTGTTCATACCACCCAAACACTGGCTGGCCGTCCCTCCTTCCTTCCGTCCGTCCGTCCTTCCTTCCTTCTCTTGCTTCCTTCCTTCTCTTGCTTCCCTTCTTTCTTTCTTTTTAGAATATGGCATTCAGGTGATTGACACAGGTGTGACATGGACAGGCTGGGAAAGACCAAAACGGGCCACTGAAAATTACCCCACCCACTCCAAGGACCGCGTGCAGTCCTCACCCCTCTTCATTCAGATGCTTAGCACACCATCCTGTTTACCCTGAAGTGACCCCACTGTGGACATAGGGCCTCAGATGTTCCTTTGTGCCTCGACGCAAGAAGCCGCTGTGTGGGCCAGCTGAGAAAGATGATTATGTTTGGGCGGCCATCTTGCCAGCCGTCGTAAGCAGACTGTGTGAGTCTCCTCAGTGGGGCTCGGTTTACAAACTGGTTGTGCATCCTGGAGTGTCTTCGCAAAGCCTTGCCTACGCCATCGTTTTTTCTTTTTTTTTCTTCCAGTGATTCTTATTTTATAGAACTGGTGAAGAGAGGTAGAAGGGTAGGGAACAGTGAGACAGCTACGGAGTTGTGAATCTGATGGGCGGCTAGCTCCAAGAGCTGTCATGGAGGCTTGCTTTGAATGGCGAGCGGTTGCTGGCATAGTAAGGCATCTCTGAAATCCTTGCACTCACGGCATCTGTCTGTAAATGAAGACCCAGCGCAGCCCAACCACCCTCATGGACCCACGAGTGCATGGCTGGACAGAACCAGTCAGTGGTACTTGACATTAGTGCTTGAATGGATTGTTTGCCAGGGGGCCCCTCTCCCCATTTCCTTGGGCCCCTTTCCTGCTGTACCCCCTATAACAAACCTATGAGGGCCCATATGCTCTCAGCCTCTCTTACAGTTTGCCACCCTGACCCACCCAATG